CATCCTCCCCCAGCCCTGTCCTCAGATGCAGTCCGTTCCCACTCACCCGGACAGTCCCCAGGGCCCCAGGGGCAATGGCTAAACCCAGACCTGCAAGGCTCAGTCACCTGGCTCTGCATGCCTTTCTCTTGAAGCAGAGTCACGGGTACCCTGTGAGAAGCCAGGCCCCTTTCCCCCGGGAGATTGAGCTTGTGTCCAGGGACAGCACGGTCAGGAGGCTCAGCCCTCAGCCCCTGACAAGGCCCCAATATCTCCAGGCTCCAGTGCCTCTCCTGTGAGCAGGACCACAGGACAAGGACATTACGATGTTCCAGGCCTTGGGCTTCTCCCTGAGTGCAGAGCTGAGAGGGGACCTGCTCCCCCTCAAATCGAACTTGTCAAGAGTGACCCTGCCTCCAGCTGGCTCAGGGAAAAGCCTCGGACCTGGTGGCCCCCAAGCCTTGTTTTCAAAGATTTCTGGGAAATTGTTCTCCCTATTTATTTTTATTTTTAATTGTAAACTGGCACATTGGGGCCAGGGATATAGCTCAGCGGCATCACATCTGCCTGGCAAGTCCAAGGCCCTGAGTTCAGTTCCAGTACCAGAAAAAAGATAAAAAGGGAAAATAAACTGACACATTACAGAGGCATACATGTGTGGGGTACAAAGTGATGTTACACTTCATGAATACAATGTGGAACAATTATATCAAGCTAATTAACACATGTAGCACCCATCACTTCAAATACTTATCATTTTTTGGGTAAAAACATTGGAAATTTACTTCCTTGGCCATTTTGTAATGTGTAATACTGTACATTATTTACTGCACATTATTATTTACTATATTCAACTCACCGTACACTATATCTCAAAGGGAAAAGAAAACCTTATTGTTCCTGTCAAACTGACGCCTACGCCCTTTGACTGTCATTTCTCCCTTTCCCCTCCATGGCCTCTGGTCAACACCTTCTCCTTTTGCTTCTTTGAGTTTGATTGCTTCACCTTCCATACACAAATGAGAACACATAGTACTTTCTTTGTCTGTCTGTACCTGACTTATTTCATGTGGCACAATATTCTCCAACACCAGCCAGAAGAGCAAAATGACAGAATTGCCCTCTTTTTCAAGGCTGAATAATATTCCAGTGTCTACTAGCATATCTACTTTGTCCATTCATCTGTGATAGACACTAAGGCTGAACCTCGCTCTTGTGACCAGGACTGCAGTGAATCCACGCACTGATTTCAACTCTTTGGGGTTTCAACCCAGTAATGGGATTGCTGGATTGTGTGGTAGTTCTAGTTTTTGTTTTTTGAGGAAGTTTCATATAACTTTCCATAATGACTACTATTTATAATCTCACCAGCTCCTTGGCTTATGGAGGTGAGACTGGGGTGTGCCCTGTCCTTCCTTTCATCCCCACCTGGATAATGTGTCCCCTTCACAAACACTTGCCATGCTCCAGGCTCTGTGCTGAGTGCTGGGGTGCAGAGGGGCCTCAGGGCTTCTGGGCTCTGAGTGCCCCCATGAGAGAGGGGGTGCAGGTCAAGGGAGTGCTTTGCACACAAATGCTTTCATGGGGCTTCCGGTGTAGCTTACTTTGTCCCTAGAGTGTTCCTGAAATTGCTGCAGCTGGTGTCATCCAGTATTTTCTCAATCAGTAGGTACTAAAAAGAGAACTATTGTCATTTGCCACCCCAGGAGCATTTTGTGGGTGTGAATCAGAAAGCCCTGTTTTGAAAGGTTGGGATCTGTGGGTGCAGTTCAATTCCCCAACTTATGGCCAGGGGCCCAGGGCCCAGGGAGAGGGGTCCAGTTCTCAGATGCCCAGGTCTCAAATCCTGAGTGGAAACGCTCTCAGAAAATAGTGGCCAGAGGGGAGCAGCAGGCAGGAGGGAGCCAGGAGTTGTGTCAGGATGGAGCAGGTTCTGCCTGCTACTGGGTCTGATCACTCACCATCCAAGTGCCGGCCCCCTCCCTGCCCCTCCCCCTCCTCCTTCTTCTCCCCCTCCCCAGTGGCCAGCCAGTTTACTGAGCTCCTCTGTCCACACTACAGATGCAAAGATTTCCAGAAGAAAAGAGAGCCTCTCCCAACCCTCCTGCCGGGCTCCTCCTTTTCCGGCGCTCCTCTTTATGGACCCCTCCTCCCACCCCACCCTCCCCGCATCCCCTCAGACTCTTCTATCTCCACAAACTGCCTCAGCTTCTCAGCCTTCAAAGACGCAGAGGTAGATCTAGAGACACAGAAGTAGGCGCAGAGCTTCTGCCCCACGCCTTTGCATCCGCTAAACATGGCAACGAAATTTCTCCAGAACAAGGCCTTTTCTTATGTAATTGCAGTACAATGATCAAACTGTGAATGTAACACTGATGCTACACTATTATTTAATTCACAGTCCCTATGTGAATTTTTCCAGGCCTGTTGATAATGCCTGTGTGTGTGTGCTCACACGAGCACATGTGAATAAAGCATTACAGTCGTCCCAAAGTCAAATTCCTATCTGAAGGTGAACTTCACCACCCATCGCCTTCCATCTGTCCCCACTCACCTCTTAAAGCACTAGTCCCTGCCCCTTCTTTTCTTTCAAAAAAAATGGGGGGAGGATATAAAAGTAGATACATGAGCCAGTTACGGTGGCCAGGTCTGTGATCCTAGCACTTGGGAGGCTGAGGCAGAAGCGTCACCTCAAATTTGAGACTAGCCTGGGCTACACAGTAACTTCAAGACCAGCCTGAACTACCTAGCAAGACCCAGTTTCCAAAACCAAACCAAACCAAACCAAACAGCAGAGCAGATGCATGACTATCCTCCATCTCCCCACTTTCCTCTGCAAGGTCGAACCCTATATGTGCCATTTTGTACTCTGTCATTTGACTGTGTATTTCGGCCACGCTGCTGGCTTGGCTTTGCTGAATCTCAGTGACCCTTCCAGTCATGTGAGTGACTCCTCTCATTCCCCGGAAGGAACTGCACAGAAGCCCCGCTCCGACTTAGCCCTGCAGACCCCTCCAGCTGGAACCCAGGGTCCCTCCGAACTCCTTTCCCTCCCTGCTCTCCCTGTGGGCCCACCAGGAGGCCTGCAGAGCCCCAGCTCTGCCTCTCCTCGCTGCGATCCTTTGGGTTCCTGTTTGGGCCTCAGTTCTTCACCTGTAAAATGGGGCAGGACAGAGCATGAAGACTGCAAGGCGTGTTATCAACTTATTGAGCTTCCCCCCCAAAGCCTCTCCTGACCCCCAACTCTTACTGGCACTGCAAAAGGCTCCCAGGCATTCTGTTCCCAAGCGGTCACCTGGGTCTGTCCCCTGGACTTTCCCTGCTGTCCCGGGGGTGGGGCAGGGAGAGCTGGGCATGGCCTTCAAGTCAGCTGGCTCAGGTTCAAGCCCAGCTCTGCCGTTTCTTTCCACCAGGGTCTCCCGTTTGGCTTGGCTCATGTTTAGTCCCTCATATCCATGCAGCTTTCGAAAGGCAGAACGATGTTTCACTCTGGATCTCCCTGTCCCTTTGTAGACTCTGAAGCTCCCTGGAGGGCTGGCGGCGATGAGCTCTCAGTCCCCCTAACGAGTCTCTGATGTCCCTGACAGGAGCACTGCCCTTTGTCCTCCTCCTTGTAGCACCCTGCTGGGCTCCTGGGGGCTTTCTGGGGACTTAGCTTCCCTTGTCCTGTCTCAGCTTCAAGAGGAGCCGCATCTGGCCGGGCCTTTGCTTTCACAGGGATCGGCCTCATGCTAAATGTGGCACTGTGAGGGTCCTTACTTGCATGGCACCCCCTTCTGTCCTCAAGGACAGCACTGACCCCCTCCCTGGGGCTGGGCAGCTGATGGTGGGTCAGTGTTTGGGGGTGCAGGGCTCAGAGCAGAAAGGGCTCTGCAGGTCCTCACATTCGAGTCCTCTGATTGTGGGGAAGAAAAATTCCTGCCCAGAGTGAGGAGTTTGCAGCCAGGGGAGTGGGGGAGCCCCATACCAGACCACCTAACTCCCGCAGGTAGGTGGCCCTGGTCCCTGAAAGACAGGGTGGCTTATTAAAACAGGGAAGCCATCTGTCAAGGTGGTCATGAACACAGCTTTATGCGTTAAGTTGTTATATTGTTTTGTGTTTTTTTTATGATGGAGAAGATTCAGCCATCGACTGGGTATTTTAGAATCCCAACAACATCAAAATGAAATATTAGTTGTCAGATTCGTTTAACAATTATGTCCTCAAAGTTTTTATGTTAACATTTTAAAAGGGGTTTATTTTCTCACTTCAAATCAACTTCTTTCTTTCTTTCTTTCTTTCTTTCTTTCTTTTTTTTTTTTTGGTACCAGGGATCATACTTGGAACCTTGCGCTTGCGAGGCAGGTGCCGGAAACAGTAGGCTAAATCCCTGGCCCCAAATCAATTTCATATTCAAATGAAACAAATCATCCATTTGCCTACGACCTTTTAGAAAAGTTGTCATTTTTGTTAAAATACTGTACCTAGGCTTCATCTGAATTTGCATGGACCACACTTTAGTGGATTTAGAAATGGTGAACTCAATTCCTGAAATTAAATTTTTTACTTAAAAAAATAAGAGAGTATGGCTGCCAAATTCAGGGCAGGTGTCAGGGGTCCAGCTGCCCCACTCCCTGGCTGTCACTTTTCCTGGCCACACCCAGCTTCCTCATTGGGAAAAATGAGGGTGGATATAGCATCTCTGCTAGGACTGCCGAAGGTTAGGGAAGATTGGCACCAGGCCTGGGTCCTGTCACCCAGAACTCTGTGATCTCAGCAGATGTGGGCGTGGGGCTTCTGGGGCACACTTGGCCTGGGGGTCAAATTGTGGCCTGGAAGCCTCATTGGCTGGGGCTGCAGCTGACTCAGCCTGGGATGGGACAGGGCTGAAGACACCTGGACTGGCAGAGGAGTCCTGCTGGAGCTGCGTGCCGGGGCTCCAACCCCGAGCAGCACTGGATCCTCCAGCAGACAGTCGTCCTCTCCGGGGTGCTGTATCCAAGTCCTCTTTGAAGCTGACCCCTTTCCTGGCCCTTCTCTCATGGGCTTCTTGGAAGAGGAGGGCAGCTGGAGCCTGTCCTTTGCGGGCTCGGGCTACCTGGGTCTCTACCATGTGGGGGTGACCCAGTGCCTGCGCCAGCATGCCCCTCGAGTCCTCCAGGGTGCCCGCCGCTTCTACGGCTCCTCGGCTGGGGCCCTCAACGCCCTTGGCATCATCTGCAACAAGCCGGTGGGTGCGTCCCGGGCTATGGGGGAGGGGGGAAGCTGGGGGACACCCCCAAGGAGGCTTATTCTTGGTTGGGGCACAGGGAGCTCTGCCTGGCTGTGTCGTGAGGTCTTCACACCCAGCCTGGCGCCTCCGTGTTTTAATCTGGGGACCCTGGATGACCCATTTGCAAAGCAGGGAGCCTGGGCTCACAGCCCAGAAAACTGTTCCCAAGGTCGCTTGGGAGCAAACGGCAGATGGAGCCTCTGAATCCTGAGTCCTCCAGGGAAATTCTGAAGGGCCAAGGGGAGAACCCTCTACTCGCACCGCATGAAGCATGGGCACCTCGTCCCCCTGGCCTAAGGACTCCCCTCCTCGGCCCGCCCCACAGACTTCTGCTGCTCCAACCTCCTGGACATGGTTAAGCACTTGGAGGGGCTGAGCCTGGGCATCTTCCACCCGGCCTACGCACCCATAGAATACATCAGGCAGCGGCTGCGAGACTCACTGCCTGAGGACTGTCACATCCTGGCCTCCCAGCAACTGGGCATCTCACTGACCCACTGGCCTGATGGCCAGAATGTCATAGTCACCGACTTTGCCACCAAAGAGGAGGTCATCCAGGTGAGTGGCGCTGGGACCCAGGTCCTGGCGGCAGGAGGGTGGGGGGTTCCCATTGGTGCTGGAGGGGCTTCCAGGTGCTTCCCAGGGGGAGGTGCATATGTGGGTGCCAGCAGGTGTTCGAGGAGAGGACCAGGTGCCCAGGGGAGGGCAAGGGGAGTGTGCTTGCTTCAGAAGTACCCTTGGGTGCAGAAGCAGTCGGGGCTCTTTCCAGAGAGTGTCTGCCCAGCCCTGCCTCACTCCCTCTTCCGGGCACCTTTTGAGCCACCAAACATTTATTGAGCATCTGTTCCATGCTGGGCACTTGACCATCCCAGGGGAGGGGACGGACAGAAATCCCTGCCTCCTTAGGGTCAAGGGGGTGGCAAGCCTATCTCAGGTAATGACCCAACCCAGGGACTTGGAGGAAGATGTGGTACGTGGTACCTCTGCTTGTCTGTGGCAAGGAGAGGGGCGGGCAGCAGAGAGAAGAGGGTGGGGTGGAAGTCCTCCCTGAGACACTGCTGGGTGTGATGACCTCCCGAGTGAGACCAGGGGCAGCGCCTCCGGGGTGGGTGGGGGAGAACAGGCATGGAAGCCACGGGCAGGAACTGCCTGTCCCCGTGACTGTCTTGCCAGGCGGTGATCTGCACCCTGTACTTCCCCTTCTACTGTGGGATGATCCCCCCCAAGTTCAGAGGGGAGGTGAGTGCAGAGGTTTGATATTCTCACCCCTTCCTGTGCTTGGGGTACAAAGGGTCGGGCGGCGGAGAGGCTGTGGCTGGGGTGGACCCCTTTCCCTGGCCACCTGCTGAATCCTGGGCCCTCCCGGCTGTCCGGGCTGGAGTGGGCCGCCCCTGGGCTCCTTCTTATGGTCGGGGGGAGCATAGGTGCCCTGCGAGACCTGCCCAGCTCACCTGCCTCCGTGAATTGCAGCGCTACATCGACGGAGCGCTGAGCAGCAACGTGCCCTTCGCCAGCTGCGCCTCCACCATCACCGTCTCACCCTTCAGCGGGACGGTGGACATCTGTCCCCCGAGCACCTCAGCCAGCCTGCACGAGCTGAATGCCTTCAATGCCAGCTTCCAGATCTCCACCGCCAACTTCTTCCTGGGCTACCAATCCCTCTTCCCCCAGAGTCCTGAGGTGTGTCTGGGCCCTCCCAGGCAGAGGCGTAGCGACACACGCCCTTGTTGCACACTCGGCCAAAGCTTGGGGCCCGAGTTGTGACCCTGCTGTCCTTTCCCTCCCTTCTGAGTGTCCACCAAGGACTGGCCCCCATGTCCAGGGATCCCTGGAACTAGAGCCACCCCACCAGGCTCTGTGAGCAGGTCCTGGGCATCCCCACTCTCAGAGGATGGAAGGCTCAGAGAGGTTAAATTCTTATTCAGAGCCCCACAGCTGGGAGCAGCAAAGCCAAGACTGAGACTCTGCTCTTGGTCACTGACCTAGACTCTGGCCAAACTGGCCATCGGTTGTGGAGGTGAGGCACAAGCACACAAAGAAATGGACAATGATCCTGCATGTTCTGAGCTTTGCCCTTGGAATTTCTGGAAGATGAAGTCTGATAACAAATCCTTGATCTCTGCAATGTGTCCTCCTCCCCAGGACGCTCTGCCCATCCCTCAGCCCTCTCCTGCTTGCCTAGTGCTTTATAATTTCCACACAGCGTTAACTTCTGGTGCTGTGGTCCTCCCAACACCTGGTTACTCCATTATCCAGGGATAGGAGCTAGGGAACGGGAAGCTGGGAGCCAGCGGTGGGGCGCTCTGTGTCACCTGCAGGTGGGCAGGGCTGGGACCCTGTCTGGCTAAGGACTAATCTTGGCCTGTGACCCCCTGGCCTGTGTTTTGGCAGGTGATGGCCGACATTTGCAGACAGGGCTACTTGGACTGCCTGAGGTTCCTGGAGCAACGCGGTAGGCGGCAGGAGGATGTCCCCTGTCTCTGGGGCGTTTGACCACCAGGGGCCTGGGCTACTTGCTCATTTCCTACTTGGCATCTGCTGTGTGCTTGGCCCAAGCTGGATGCTGGGGACCAGAGAGGGGCCGCACACAAGCCCCACGCTGCAGCTTCCTGAAGCCCAGCTTGGAGGGACAGGGGACCAAGAGTCACCCTAGGGGGAGGGGTGCAGTGGCAGGGACGATCTGTGTTGTGGTCGCCCAGAGGAAGGATTTGGCTCAGCTTAGGTGGAGAAGGTGAGCAAGGAGGGCTTCCTGGAGGCAGCGGCAGGAGAAAGAGCCTTCTAGGCAGAGCAGGACAAAGGCTACACCTCCAGGGCGTGGAGCTGGGTTGGCAGGAGGCCCCTGGGCTGCGCTCTTCACAGCAGGAGCCTTGCTGGGCACAGTCCATGCCCAGGCCTGGCCCAAGTCTTATGTCTTTCTCAAATTTAGTTCTCAGAACAGCTCTAGACCACAGGTCTCAGTTTCTCTTTATACCGAGAAGTAAACAGGCCTGAGATCACAGAGCCGGCCGGTGTCGGAGTCAGTTTGAATGCCGAACCTGGATCTGGGCTCTGATGACACTCTGAGAAAGGAAGGAGCAGAGCAGAGAGGGCGGGAGGAGTGCAGGAAGGGCTCACTGCAGGGGAGCCCTGGGTTCACCCTGGCCCAGGCGGGTGGCGCGGAGAGCCAGGTCAGTCTCCTCTGGAGCCACCATGTCCTTTCCCTCTCCCTGGCCCAGGGCTCACCAAGGAACCAGTGCTGTGGACGCTGGTATCGAGGGAGTGGTCAACCCCAGCAGAGGGGCCTCGGGATGCCAGCAGTGACGGGGGACTCAACTGGGATGTGCCCTATGTGCGGGTGAAGGATGTGCCCGACTTCGAGCAGCTGTCGCCCGAGCTGGAGGCTGGTACTGCCGCTTCCCATGCTCTCGCCGCGGGGCTGGGGCCGGGTAACCTGCACCAAGCGCTAGTGACGGGGAGGGTCCAGAGCTCATCTGCCAAGCACCTACTAGATCCCTGTGTACGGGGGCTTCCTCCCCTCGCTGTGGTACTGGGAACTGAACCCAGGGCGTTTGCACTGAGCTACATCCCAGAGCTTTATATTTATTTAGTTTTTATTTTGAGACAGGGTCTGGCTGAGTTGCCTAGGCTGGGCTTGAACTTGGGATCCTCCTGCCTTGGCCTCCCAGTGTATAGGGATTACAACCCAGCCTGCAGGGCCTTTTTACATATGGCGTCCCTCAGCCCTCACAATTGCCCTGAGCTGTGTGACTCCCACAGCAGAGCTGCAGAGCCTGCACATGTGGAACTTGAACCCAGGTCTGTGCCCAAGAAAGCCAAGTCTTTGTCTACTGCCCAGGACTCCTCAGGAGGTGCCAAGAGACACAAGACAGACATATGGGGGGTTCTGGACTCCCAGAGGGAGACAGGCTCACTTCAGCCTTCAGCAAGACTCTGAGGATGGGACAGGATTGTTCCCAATGCTGAGGAGGCAACCATTGCACAGAGAAGTTGAGGAACTTGCCCAAAAGTGCACAGCTGGCAAATGGCCCAACTAAGCTCTGCTCTGAAACCTTTAGCCCGCTGTCCTGCCTGGTGGCCAGGTGTCATGATCACAACAGTTGGAAAGGACCAAGGCATGTAGGCAATGGGGTGGGGTGAGCTTGAGAGGCGTCTAAGGGAAACTGGAGAAGTAATATTGGCCAGGCGGAGTTGGGCAGGGGCATGGCATGTGCAAAGGTCCTGGGGTTGGGGAGGGCAACCTGGGGGCCATGTGGCTACAGCAGAGGAATCCAGGTGCTCTGCAGAGATGAGCTTGGGGGCATTGGGCAAGTGAGCTTGGAAACCGGGTGCCTTCTCAGCTGTTTCCTTGAGACATGGCCTGTGTGCCCGTCACAGGTGAGGAGACAGAGGTCAGAATGGGGCAGCGGCTTGGACGTGGGGCTGGGAGGAGCGGCGAGGGCGATCAAGGCCAGAGCAGGGGCAGGAGGTGGGCCAAGGCAAAGGGAGGAGGCCGGAGATGGGACTGGTAGGCGCTGAGCCTGGGCGCCACGCTAGGGCTTGGAGCTCCTGAGGGGGCCCTGAAGCAGCCCACCCCACCCGCAACTGGCTGGGGGAAACGGCCTGCCTGGGCCTTGGTCCTCCCCTGCCTGCCCACGAGGAGGGTCGTGCCTGTCCCCGGGTCCCGGAGGCTCTGGGCAGGGAAGCCCTGTCCTAGACTGAGCTGGGTCCGTCATGTCCAGACTGCACTGGGCGCCGAGACGGGGGCTCCTGCTCTGGCCCAGCCTGGACGCTGGATGCCGGCTTCAGCTCACCGGGGCTTGGGAAATGCTCACAGTGTCCGTGAACGACAGTGTGCTGTCACTGTTCCTGAGGGCGCTGCTCCCCGACACGGGCGTGAAGGAGGAAGTGCGGGGGCGTGGCCTGCCTGGGCCTGCTGCTTCCTTACGCAAGCGCTGTTCTGCTCTGACCTCGGTCTCCCCGTCTGTGGTCCGTTGTGACACGGGCACAGGACGCGGGGCTTGGCTGGCAGCGCCACCTGCTCTGCAGAAGGTGGGGTGTGGGGCACCATCCGGGGACCTGGAGAGACATGGGGGCGCGGAGAGCTGTCAGGGCCACGTACGGCCCACGGGATCCACGTGGCACTGTCCCCGCAGCACTGAAGAAGGCTTGTCAGAGGGACCCCAGCGCCTGGGCGTGCTTCCGCCGCTCGGGGCCTGGGAAGACGCTGACCTACCTGCTGCTGCCCTGGTCGCTGCCCTTCGAGTACATCTACTTCCGGAGCTGGAGGTGGGTAGCGGGCAGGGAAGGTGGTGGGGAGCATGCGAGGCACAGAGGACAGAGCGGGTGGAGACGGATGGGTGGCGCCCTGGGCCCCACCTCCTCCCTGGGACCTGTGGCCTTGGCCCCACTGTCAGAGCCTCAGAGAAGGCGACTCTTGGAGCTGAGCTGCCTGAGAGTCGCTGTGTGGCCCGGTGCCCTCTGGAGAGCTGGGCCACAGCTGCCCTTTTCTTTTTCTTTTTTTCCCCCCCGTATATAAAAAATTAACCTCAACCCTTTATTTCCAACATAAAGATAACTTGAAAGGATCTATGAACCTAAATATGAAAGACTAAAACTATAAAACTTCAAGAAGAAATTATAAGGGAAAATGTTCATGAATTTAGGGTAGGCAATAATTTCCTAGGATACGAAAAACATGATGTATAAAAGAAAAAAATTGATAAAGGAGATTCCATCAAAATTTAGAACTTTAAATGACATCATTAAGAGAATGAAAAGTAGTCCTTAAACAGACCATATTTATAATACATATAACCTATGACCAGAATATATAAAGAACTCTTACAGCTCATTAAAAGACAACCCAATTAAAAAGTAGACACAAGAAGATGATAAATAGCCAGTACAGCACAGGGAAAGGTGTGCAACACTAGAATCAGAAAAAGACTAATCAGTACAATAACGAGATTGTATTATACACTCATTAGGGAGATGAAGTTCAAAGTTTTAAAAGAACAAATGTCAGCTTAGGTGTGAACCAGTTAGAACTTTCGAATGCTGCTACTGTGAATGTAAAATGATAAAACCATTTTGAAAAACAATATAGAAATTACTTGTATTACTGTTAAGAACCAACAGTTCTGTTCTTAAATTTTTACTTAAGAGGAATGAAAACACATGTTCACAATAGATTTGTACATATACGTTGACTATCCCTTATCTGAAATTCTTGGGACCACAACTGTTTCAGATTTTGGTTTGAAATCCACGTGATCTGCAAAGAGGATAGCTACTCCTGCTTTTTTTCGGGATCCTGTCACATGGAGTATTGTTTTCCACCCTTTAACTTTCAGTCTATGAGTTTCTTTTTGAATTAAGTGTGTTTCTTGTATGC